AATTTAAGGTAATGACATGTAAAGGAACATACGAAACGACTACATACACAACGTATGAAAAAATCAAGGAACCCCAAAGTAGATCAGCAAGTAAAGCTTAATCAAAGCGAGGGATTACGATAAGTTGGACTGGGTTCATAGTGGAAGTGGAGATGCTGAATAATGCCCCAGTGGCGAAAAAAGCAAAGAAATCCGTCAAGAAGGCGCAAAATGGGACCCCTTTCTTTGCCCGTTGACCTCCGATAATGGACGAGCTAGCAACCAATTAGAGGTCTTTTGCACATGTTAACTGATAGCCACCATCATACCAGCAAGGCCATGCTTTGATTGGTAACGCGTTCCATGGGAAAGTTATAGGATACGCACTCACAAGCGGAATACCTCATCAAAATGATAATCGAAGGACGCTGCTGCTGGGGGCGGAGCACAGGCCGTGGCGGAGCTCAGAAAGGAATGGCAAGCCCAGTACGCTGCAACTAGCGCACCTTTGGCCACAAAAACGCCACATTTCGTTTCCTTTGGCCCCTGACTACTGCTTCCACTGGTGCATGTACTTCCACGCTGCACACACACTTTATCGTAATCTTTCACTTTAACCATATGTAGGTAACGGTTAGTGTGGTCGGCATTCGCATCACCTTGCTCATTCTTTGGTACTCCGTACCAGCACAGAACGTAAAAAATGCTAGGGTCCTCGGCGGCACTAGCTGGTAAAATGCGTAGCAATTTATATAGAGAAGCGCATTGAGAATTTATAAAGCCCTTGTATGAGATTCCTCCTTAGCCTCAGGTGCAAAGAATCTAAACTGAGCATGTTGCTTCGGACTAGCTCTCGGAGGATGCTTCTATAGGTAAAGCCAAGAAATCTTATGAATAGCTTTCTCGTGGAATTATTCTGTACCTTTTCTAGTTTATTCAAGAATGTTTTGGTCTGCGGGAAGATTATGCGTGTGCCATATTCAGGACTGAGTGTTGTGTAGATAGATGGCGTCGAGCTTGCCCTAGACTTTTCTTTGATTTGTCGCTGTTTCTGATTTGAAGTCGCGGAATTTGGTGCTAATCGTTCAGTGTCACAAATTATGGAAGTTCTGTCACAGCAATTTCACACAATCCCCGCTTGGGGTACAAATGGTCCATCCTGCTGGAAGGTCCAATGGTTTCGCTCAAAAGTGCTCTCAGCCAGATGCATTTATTATGTTTGAAGGAGTTCGAGATTGTTAGAGAGCACTCCTGTTAGTCGCAGATGTTGTTGCCCTGTATACAGCAGAACATTCCGATGTTTGACAGGGATTGATGTTGGCTAATTAGGTTAGGGTTTTACTACCTCAAGCAAATCAGTATTGTTTTCAGCGAAAAAATTCAACTAGCATTATTAGGACAGGATTGCAGCAGCAGAAGAAAATCCATCATTGTATTCTGATAGAGTAACTCCTGAGGGGCTTCTCAATGCGACTCCTCCACAAACTAAGTTTTTAGCGAGGACCATTTTTTCATTTCATTGACCCTGATAGCTAAGTTTGCTATCACTCCGACAAGTACTGCGAAGACCATTTAGAGCGAACAGTACGCTGCAAAAACAGGACATCTTCTAACACATCACAGAGCCGAGCACAACTTTGAGAAGTTGAACAGGTGCAAAATTGTGACGATGAATTATCGGAAACAAATTCACTTATGATTATCAATATACTAGGTTCGGGGTGGGGGTAGACCGCTATCTTATCGATAGTACTAGAGAACACCCTGTGAAAGCATCTTAAGGTTTTTTCCGCATTACACCGACACTTATCAGAAGTCTACTTTAAATGAGTCGATTACGTGTCGTGAGCCCTCTAATCCTTATCTTGAGTATTGGAGAAAAAATGGAGTGCCCCCCCCACGAAGTTTCTGAAGTTTCACCATATAATTACTGACGATTTGACCACTTTGCAAGAAAGATGAGGAAGAGGCTGTTGTATACAGTGCGTTTCAAAAGTATGTGGACACCTCACAATTCACAATAAAAAGGTAACTAAGAGGCTTCGTGCTATGCAACCCTCCTCAACCGTCCAAGAACGACTTTCTCTTAATCTTGGCATGGAAGTTGATGCGAATAGTTTTGCTGTAGCCTGACCAAGATTTCAGCACTTTTTATTAGGCTTACGTTTCGGCCTCTTCGCCTTCGTCAGAGCCTGAAAAGTCGAAAAGCAATTGAGACCGATCCTTTCATGGCCAAACAATCCTGAAGACAATTTCTCCAGACTACTAAACCAACAGGCGGTATCGATTGAACCAAGAGGGCTACAAGGCTTACCTAGATCTTTGTCGCCAAGGCGCAAGATCGACCACCCAAGAAGCAGACTTTTGCGTGGAATGAGCGAACCTATCTCTCCTCCCTGACCTCACCGAAACTCAAAACCTACAGAGGTCGAGGAAGGGCGCCAGGTCACGGGTTACGGCTACACATTCTTCTTTCCTATTGATTTTGGGGTCCCTAGCAGCAATCCTCCAGCGTTTTCCGCGTAGTTCTCCTCTTCTAGAGCCCGTAATATATCACTTGTTGCAACTGCTAAATTTTTGATAGCTCATCGCTCTATATTCAACAGACGTGACAAAAACTAAACCTGTGAGGTGCAGCTATAACGCTATAGCTTAAGCTATAAGCTATTAGCTCATCTGCTCCGCATCAAACAGATGCCAAAACCCTGCGGACGCAGCTATAACGGCGTCCGCAAGGGTTTAAGACGGAGTAAGCGTGCACGGCGCGAAACATAGCGCGTTTAAATGGGTACTCTGACAATCACAACGTGGGGGGTATTTCACACCTTGCCGAAATCGCGAAAGAGCAATAAAGTGTCGTTGTACCTGCCGTTCATTTCCGAGGAAGTGAGAAGAGCAATTCGAGTCTGTTTGAATAGGTGTGATCTCCAGGACGATGTGAGGATTGTGGAAATACCCCCACGAAAACAACACGCTCAG